TGTTTAATAACATGACACAACTGAATGAATACGATGCAAATAAGTTAAAAAAAAAGTGTAACATTCAGAGAATTTTACAATAACATGCATTTTATAATTTGTGAAATCAAATTCTCCTTGATGTAAAAAGAATACATGACTGATGTACCATTGTCTTAAACATATGATAAGACCCGTTGCAGAGCAAATCATGTTTAATTGAATTTTGTTGACTAAGTTGCACCAACTATCCATCTTTCAAAAGAGATTATCTTCTTCTTTTTTATGAAAATTTGATTTACTTGTAGGTTTTTTATCCTTCTCGATTGGTATTGATTTATTGAATGAGTTATCCCGTGAAGGAATGTATCGGTGTTTTTTCAAATAAGGATCTTACATCTGGTCATAATTTGGGTGTTATTGCACGTCAGAGCAGAGTGTGAAGGTGACAATCGGTCGACTTAATGAATAATAGCTCCGATGGCTTTAATGGCATATGACAGAAGTATATTCCAATTTACCCAAAGGAAAATAGTTTCTTTATGTTACTTTTGCTTCTTTAAAAAAAGATTTGCCTCCGCAAAATTATAATTTGTCACACAACAACCTTACTTAGTAAAAGCTATTGTCAATATACGACATTTCACATATGGACTGATCTAAATGTGACTATATGGTATATTCAGGTTACAAAAGCTTCTTTGGTGTTATTAATTCCATTTCTGTAACCTCTAATGTGTATTTAAAACAATGGGAATAAAATTTAAGTAACCATATGTGAATATCATAGACTTATAGTTGTTTGCTTTTACTTGCGACAGAAGAGCCAGCAATCTTTACCATATCGTTTACAGATCGATGAATTTTATTCCACATCATAACATTTTATCCACCAATAAATACAGGGTCTGCTCCTTCAATCAAACATATTTGTATCCCGTCTGGTGCCAGTTTGCGACAAGAAAGTGTGGGATGTGCATATTAGGTTCAAATAACGAGACAATATGACTGTATAAACCGATATCTGCATGTGACAGCTTGTTCTCACATTCGATTTATTCCCACGAACAATGTTTTAGAAAGTCAAGATTTTTTTATGCGTAAAGTAATCTCAGAACTACAAATTGAAATCAATCGAAATGAAATATTATTGAGGATCCAATGTGTTGAAGTTAGTCTACATTTTGTATATTATTATTTTGTATCTGAATAATTTTCGAAAACCTCTAGATAAAGGATCTCAGTTTTTGGTATCAGAAATGATGTATGCAAAATAGATCCTACTATTTTCTAGGAAAAACGTTTTTACAGTCTCAAACTTTTCCTTATTTATAGTATATTTAAAACTTTTATTAATATAAAGGTTATATGGCTCTATATAAACAGTTGATTTGATAAATAACCTGAGCAATTAGTCAATAATCTTAATAACTAATTTGAAAATTTCTAATACAGCAAACTTCCTTTTTTTTTTAGAGAAAACGATATTTTTTCAAAAATTGACACCAACCGTGTACAAATCTATATTAACGTCACGATTATTCAATGAAAAGTGATGTCACAAGCATGCAGTATTATAAGATCAATTTTATCACTCACGATAAAAATAACATGATAGTTATACGCAATTATAACGAAATAAATGATTTATCCGTCCATTAACCATTTTATAGCATTGCAGACTGGCATACAATGTACTTGCATAAACGTGTTGGCCATTGATTACTCTTGTTTATATTGAAAACTACTAACTTCCAGAAATAGGGTTTTTACCCCAAAAAATACCGAGTTTTGAACATTATCGACCAAGCAAATGCTTTATTCTTTATTCTAACACGACCCGCATTTTTCCCTATTGAACCTAGAAGAACCGAAAGTGTGTGTTATTTAAGAAATAATATATCCAAAACAGTGATTTTATCGCTCAATAACATCACTGTTTGGAGTTCGGATGCGATGAATTAGACTATATCACGAGGGCGTAGACATCAACAAATAAATGCTGCCGTAACTGATATGAAGCTAAATTGTTCCTGATTTTTTACCTTACTTATTTTCAGCGCGTCGCATTTTTTTAGTGGTACGTCACATGTATAATGATTACGTCACATGTCTAAATATAGAACGTCAACAGTGAAAATCCGACGCGCTAAAAATAAGTACGGAAACAATCAGGCGCAATTTGCTTAATATCAGTAACGGCAGCATTTATTTGTTGATGTCGCGTTAGAATCGAAATAATATATCCAAATCTGTGATTTTATCGCTGGATAACATCACTGTTTATCGCTCGGATGCTCATCATTATATCACTCGGGCTACGCCCTCGTGATATAAGTCCTCGCATCCGAACTCCAAACAGTGATGATTTTGAGCGATAAAATCACAGTTTGGGATATATTATTTCTTAAATGCATGATTAAAAATACAAAATCCGATTTACACGACTGAAGATGTAAACCTTTAACCTGCTGTATCCAAATTTGATCACCCTTTGTCACCAGTATAAAGCCAGGCCAGCTTGCACGTACGTGTAGTTGTACTGCAGGCTGGCCAGGCACTATACTGCTGGTAGCGTGTTTTTTGTATTGTTACATTTAAATCACCTAAACTTTAAATGGACAACTTCAGTTTATACAAATTGATTAGATTTCTTTACAACATTAGTTTTTAATTCTAGACCAAGATGAGAATAATGTGACACTTAAATCACCTAAACTTTGAATGGACAACTCTAAATTATACAAATTGATTAGATTTTTTTACAACTTTGGTTTTTAATTCAAAAGCAAGATACAAAATGAGACTGCTGATAAACAATCAATGTCCTTCAGGGAAATAGAGAATATAGAGAACCATTGGAAGTTTACTAACGAAACGAATCGAAAATACCTCCGGAGGCTGATCATGGACAAAAGAGCTTAATAAATTTATGTTCAATATCTCTACGCCCCCGTAGCACCGCATTGAGAAGTACTTATCATTATAAATTGATATATATCATTGTGAAGAAATAATTCAGGAGCATATTCAGATGTCATTCAATAGATATATGACGTGGCGTTGAGTGAAATTCGCCCAGAGAATTAATTTCAATATCGCAAAGAAATTTATTCTCTGACAGTATCATGCAGATATATCTGTATATACTCAGGTACGCTCATTGATTTTTATCATTCATACTTTCAATAAATTTTAGCTCGTGGCCTGGTAGCGGGTACCATTATTACAATCAATTTAAAGAATAATTATCAACATAGGTTGGTTTGAACATATTTATTTAAGCTCGATTGCGCAACTTATATTAATTACTTCGAGTCCGCTTTCTGGATCAAACCAGTACTGGTGACATGTGAAGAATCACAGCCGTGACCTGATTAGTGCTTGAACGCATGGGCAGACACCTTAACTACCAGCTCCCCATTTATCATAAGTCAATCTGTATACTAGTATCCCTGTTACTATACAAATATAGTACTAGAATGTCTGTCTGTTTTCATTCATAAGATGTAGATCCACATTGACTAAATGTAATGATTCCCATCAATAATTATTTTGATATGTCAATATTTAATGTTTAAACAAGAGCGATCAGTAATCACATGTGTCGCCTCATGAAGGCAAATTTCATGTTGGGACAAATTTTGTGACAGACAGACAGACAGACAGACGGACAGTGCACAACTAGACTTGGTACTGATCATTCCTGTAAAGTTTGGATAAAATTGCACCAGTAGTTTATGAGTAGTAGTCCGGACAAGCTTTTGCGTATCTGGCAACACACAGAAAAAAACACCTTTTTATCAAAGGGCCATAACTCGGCCAAAAATCATTCAACCGGAAAACCCGTGCAATATGCGCAAGGACTTGAGCTACAGATCAATCCTGTAAAGTTTCATTGAAATTGCATGAGTGGTATAAGAGAAGAAGTCCGGACAAACTTTAAAAATAAAAATTATTAAAGGACCATAACTCTGACAAAAATCATTGAACCGGAAAATGCTGACAATATGCACAACTAGACTTGGTACTGATCATTCCTGTAAAGTTTGGATGGAATTGCACCAGTAGTTTATGAGAAGTAGTCCGGACAAGCTTTTGTGTATCTGGCAACACACAGAAAAAGAAACCTTTTTATCAAAGGGCCATAACTCGGCCAAAAATCATTCAACCGGAAAACCCTTGCAATATGCGCAAGGACTTGAGCTACAGATCAATCCTGTAAAGTTTCATTGAAATTGCATGAGTGGTATAAGAGAAGTAGTCCGGACAAACTTTAAAAATAAAAATTATTAAAGGACCATAACTCTGACAAAAATCATTGAACCGGAAAATGCTGACAATATGCACAACTAGACTTGGTACTGATCATTCCTGTAAAGTTTGGATGGAATTGCACCAGTAGTTTATGAGAAGTAGTCCGGACAAGCTTTTGTGTATCTGGCAACACACAGAAAAAGAAACCTTTTTATCAAAGGGCCATAACTCGGCCAAAAATCATTCAACCGGAAAACCCTTGCAATATGCGCAAGGACTTGAGCTACAGATCAATCCTGTAAAGTTTCATTGAAATTGCATGAGTGGTATAAGAGAAGTAGTCCGGACAAACTTTAAAAATAAAAATTATTAAAGGGCCATAACTCTGACAAAAATCATTGAACCGGAAAATGCTGACAATATGCACAACTAGACTTGGTACTGATCATTCCTGTAAAGTTTGGATGAAATTGCACCAGTAGTTTATGAGGAGTAGTCCGGACAAGTTTTGTGACGGACGCACGGACAGACAGACAGACAGACAGACAGACAGACAGACGACGGAGAAGTGATCCACTATATGTCGCCACTACTCCGTAGAGGCGACACAAAAAGAAGAAGCTTTGTTTTAAGAAGATGGGAAAATCTATTTAAGTTTTGCTTGCATTATAATGGTTAACGAATGAGCGAGAACAATTTAAAATGACTATGACACGAACAATATTGTTTTTTTATCCATTAAAAATCAAAACAATGACAATTCAGCTGTTCACCTGTTTTAATAAAACAAAAGGGCATTTAACAATGGGTGCAAAACTTTTATATGTTAAATAATAAATGCATAAATATTCACAAATCTATTTCTTCCAATAAACGGAAGTGTCAAAATAACATTATAAAATTTATCATCAAAATCGAACAAAATTTTATCAAAAAACAACAATCATGGATTTATTTTAAACGATGCGTGTTGTTTAATGTAGATGAAAAAAATATTAAAGAATATATAAACAACCTTTGCAGAACAATAACCTCTTGTTAAACGACAGTTTCAATTCTTCCAAAATTAGAGCAACGTCCTAAGCGTCAACCAAAATCTAAATCCCCCAAAAGAGCCTTGCACTGCGGAGGTTATATCGATATTCCTTATTGCTTCTGAAAAAGTCTACATTTTGAAAAGGAATATTATTTATCAAAAACATGCAACAGTAACAACAAAACAAAACAAAAAGGAAAATTTCATCAAAATATTCATGCATTGCCGATATTAAATGTTGAATGTCAAAAATATTTTGACATATTTCAGAGGTTATTGATCAAAATGTGTCAGATAGAAAAGTAATAAAATACCCGGACAGAGAAGAGAAATATGCAGAAATGTAGTGAAAACAATATAAAACAATCATAGATTGAATAAATAACAGACAAGAAAAAATCATACGGTTAGCTATACAATTTACATTTAAACCGATAAAACAATAATTCATGTAAATATTTTGTAACAAAAAGCAATTAAATTTTCATGAAATTTCTAACAACATGAGACAAATATCGACAAAACGAGATGATCCGTTAACTATAAACATGAACATACTTTAAAAGCAAAAAACAGAGACAAAAGTACATTTCCCTGCCTAACCCCTTTTCCAAAACTTAATATTTTATCATATTATTCTTGTCCTATTTTGAAAAATAGTTATACTCACATTCCTAGATTTTATTTCACACCAAAAAATCTCTAATACTGTCATATTCTAAACAAAATAATCATAATATCACCCTAAAAATTCTTTTTATGCATATTTCCGGCTTTTTATTAATTTAAACAGAAAAATGGCATCGTCTTCTTTCATGAAAATCGTCCTATCATCGTTCTATACTCCTTCCGTAGATCACATTTACAGTTCAAATTCATGGATTTTGAACTAAATCAGCACACATTTCACTTTCTTTGATTGATACTAATACACTACACTGTACATGTAGTATTTCAAAGAAGATTTCATTTTCTTGAATTCTTCTTACATTAACAAAGGCTACATTTTTTTATTCATATTTCATTAAAACAGTTCGTTGAGTTTGTGACTCTCTTTTCATTAAATAGTAAGTATCGGTACTGCTTTGAAATAAATCACAATGTTAAAACCGCTGGTTCACACTTCAGTGAGTAATCATGGATACTATGAAACTATATTCAGTTCATCGACAAGTGACTGACTACTTATCCCACCTGATTTCTGAATCAGCTGTAGAATGATCGGCCAGCGACCCGTTATTACAAATATGAAAATCTCATTTTTGAGCTTAGGGAGCGAATAGATCTACGTGTGAAAATAATCCAAACTTGCAGGCGCATTCGAGAGAAATCGGATTTGAATAAGGTAAAATATATAACAAATAGTGTTCTTATAGTTTAGGTTAGTCTTAATTATCAGATATCCAAATATTTCCAGGATTCGATTATCATCTTTTTGGCTATAGTAATGATTCTAATAGAAGTGTGAACAAACTGCTTTGTTAAAGACAACATAGTCAATATATAAAACCTTGTGTCAGTTCAACTGACAAAAATAAATAACAGTAACAACATGAATAAAAAACATCATTTCATTTCTGTAACATATTACATATTTCATTATGGAAAATGAGTGATTCCACAATAAATAACTGACCTGCAGTTTTACATTTTTAATCAACTCATTGTAAACATTAATAATGACCATCAAAATAAAAATAACAGATGGTTTTCTTCTTGAAACAAAACAAAGAGAAAACATTAAATACAAAAGAAAACATTAAATACAAAAGAAAAAAAATGTTAAAAGCAATATATACATACAATCTAACATACAATATGTATGTTGAAATAATGATAAAGAAAGGGAAGAAAAAATGAACCAAGGAATTTCATTTGTCAATGCAATTTTCATTACACTTTGTCTGTACTCTATAATATACATGTTTAGATTGATATTTCTATGATACTTTTTACCACCTTTGTTATTGATGCCAACTGCAAAATGTATCTCTATTTGAACAAGTCGTTTGTAAATCATACAATTCTTCCATTAATCATTCAACAGCTCAGTCATTTTAGGACGACTTATATAATAGTATGGATATGCGATGTATCAAAAAACTAGGATAAGTAAACTAATATAAATTAGGTTTCTTTTTTGCATAACATTTCCATAACACAATAAACAGACAGCATACCACGATAGTTGGTCTTGAATTTGTGTCATATATATAAAAACTACAACAACAAAATCACAACTTTATTTAATCATAAATCATTTGATTCTTCCGATCCAAAAATCTCATGTAAATGTTCATGTACTCCACAACAGGCATCTCCTACCTGTAAATATTCTTGTGTTTATGTTATACAAAAGCTACGGCAACATTAAGAAAAAGTATTTTATTTTCTTTATAATATTTGAAAATGATACACGATCCATATACGAAACAAAAGACTGATCTGGATTTTGAATTCAATTAAAATTCAAAAAGGTTTCATAAACTATCGAAGATATTGCTACATTCATTATAAATCTATCAGCTATTTATGAGTTTTCTTAGATATTAACAAATAATTGTCGAAAAGATAGTTTAAGTTTATTGCTGATTCTATATAAACACCATTTATTTAAAGAAAGATATCAAAATGTGTAAATATTTTCATTAATACTCGTAAAACGACACTTAACATTTTTCAGCTTACAACAAAAACACATGTATAAAATAAAATTACATTAAAAAAACTTACATAAAAACTGCACATTAACACATTTGAGCAGAGTTATAAATGATATTATCATTTTTTTTATTTTCTTTTAATCATACCATTCTGTATTTCGTTTTCTACATGGATTTCAGCATGTGAAGTACAAATAACACCATTTACATCAGTGTTTGTCTCTTCGTCCGATTTGGACATCTTTTTATCACTACAGTCGCTTGGTTTTTCACCTTCATTATTGTTATCTGACAAATCAGCTAACGATTGTTTGCTACATGATAAAGTGTTAGCACAATCCAGATCAGAATCATAACCATCTACCTCTTTCTTGTTAGTGTTTTCTTTCTCGTCTGCTTTATCGCCAGTAGAAACACTTCCTAAATTATTCATATCAGTTTTACTAACATCTTTTGCAAGTTTCGACATATCACAGTGAATTGAATCCTTTCGTTTCTTCGTACTTCGCCTCCTTGGCATATGGAAGGATAAAATGTCCGCAAGGTCATGAAAATCAGCTGAGGAAACCTTGTTTCGATCAATGGTCGACTCAGAATGCCGTCGTTTGGCTTCTTCTTGTATTTTTGCGAGCTTCATTCTTTCATCTTCCACACTTTCCGAATTGTTTCTGCTAAGACTTTTTGTATCGCCAAAAAGCCTATCACTTCCGATAGATTCCGACACAGAATTTCTGCTGAAAACGTCACCAGATTCTGACGTGGCACGTGACGATCCAGCAGAATCTTCGCGTTCCGAATCCTCTTCGTGCATAGTGCATAAATCACCAGATTCCGCGAGCTTCCGTCTTCGGAGATCTCCGTTCGACATTTTTGCATTATAAATTTCAGAAGCAGCGAGCGAGGCTCTCCTCGAGGGAAGGTTCTTTGATATGTGATGTTTAATAGACTGTGCAACAGAAGGCAGAGACAGCTTCGATTTTGTACGACTCGAAGGAAGCTTTAAAGCATGAAAGTCTAAGCTTGGCATTGAGCACCGTTTACCTCTGTTATAGCCTTGCATATGAAATTTAGGTTCCTCGAATTTAAACTTGAACTTTTTCTTTATGGGTGTAGCTAAAATATACATAAAAAATGTTAATTATGTGTTTTGCTACACAATCATGAATATTCTGATTTCATCTTTCAAAAAAGGTTTATTGAATAAATAAAAACAATTAAATAAATAAACAAAACTAATCTAAGAAATGCTAAAAAGTTTATTCTAACTTTTATATCGTTCGACACAGATTTGTGTCATTGCTCCTTGTAAAAATGGACTTCCTTTTATTCTGATTTACATATTATCTTTTCATATAAACATATCATTTAGCACTTTATATACCCTGTTATTAACTTAAATGATTATAATTGAGGTAACATACGAGGTATGGATTCCTCATTTTTGAGGTAAGTGTCAAGTTTCCACTCTTCTATACCTTCCATTATGCATAGACGTTGTAAAGCAGTGCTTTGGTTCTGGAAAGAAAACAAATCGTAGCAAGTAAAATATGTGCTAAAACCTACAGTGACACTTGTAACTTACATAGCAACAGCAAAATTTAGCAATATTGTGAAAAAAAATCTTAACTATTCGCACACTTTAAGTTAAAATCACAAATAATGATAAAGTAACAAAAAGAAATGAAAGCCTTTAAGGAAGGCTTTTTATGGAAAATTTTAAATTTTGCAGGATCTGTTTTAATTGAGCCTCTTCATGGATGGCAGTGGTAAATGCTCCCTACCATTCACGGCACAACCAACATTTAACAAGTCATTGGTCATCTTATTGGTTTTGCAAAGTCTTTTTTTATGCAATTATTTGACTTTAATGTTTAGTTTTTAATCATCTTAATATGATCTTAATGTTCATATAATTTGACAGAAGACTTCGGGATCATTGATGCCAGCACTATTAAGTGTTGAGAATTGAGTACCGCTCAAGTCGGTGCTAGGGGATGTGAGGGATGTTGCATGTATTCATTATCCCTCATGTACAGACTCAATCAAACCGAGCCTGCAATTATCTTGTAATTTTGTTGTGGTTAATGCTTCCGAGAGATCACTTTGTTTCCAGATTCATATGGTTAAAGTTTATGAATTTGTTTGGCAACATAAATATAGATTTTCAATACTTTAGATTTTATGTCAAAGTCAAGTTTCTCTATCATAATTAAAATTGTGATGAACATTGCTAAAGATTTTGTGGCTTTATTGGATAATATGAACCAGATTATTACATGGCATGTATTACCTCCCCTTGTCGCCATTTTTAGGAAAATTCTAACATCAACCATTCAAAAAAGATAAAAAACTCTCAAAATATTCTATCATGTTTATGTTTGCTGAATATAATAGATTAGATATTTGTGCTAAAATAACACTAATACAGTATTTATATAAAAGAATTTGTCAATTCAGCTAAATTACCTGTTGGTCTTAATTTTTAATATTTTGTCAAATATATTCCCGAAAAACAAATAACTGCCACTTTTTGCTAGGGAGAAAGATATTGTTAAAATCTATATGTCGATTTAAAGGCAGACATTGCAATCGAAATGAAAACTTTTTATTCACGTGTGTACAATTGTTTATAGCATATATTACCATATACTTTTGCAGCATAGCTTCTGTATCCCTGAGGGTTCCTTGAATTTTCTTTTTCCTCTTGTAAACCAACTTCAGACGGAAATGTTCATGGTCTTTTACTGACACGATCAGACCTAAATATTATGAAATATGAGGATGAGGTGGAAACGATAGCTTACAAAGGAAAAATATTCAATGACTTACAGGAGGTAAATTTTAAGTTCAAATGTTACATTTGATTTCATAAACTAAAAATTTCATTCAAAAATAATAAATTCATGAAAATTGAAAATAGAGACCACAATATTTGTAACTTAAAATAAGTTTTATAATGTTTCTGTATAACTGTATCACAAAAACGATTAGGGCAAAACCCGAGATAATACAGTTTTCTTTTTAAGCAGGAAGTTGTATGTCATGGAATTGATTTTTCAAATACACAGCGAAGAAGTGAATAAACGTAGAATTATCATTTGTCAGTTCAATCCTTTATCCTCACAAGCGCTCAAAGAAATATTTTACAAATACCATCGCTCAGTGATTACCTTTTCGGTTATATACTATGTTTCAATTTATGGTATAAACCACTAAGATCATGTTTATTCACTGAGCCAAACTTAATGGGTCAAAGAAACAAAATAGGCAAAATGAAATTGCTTAAACGACACAAAATTAAGACGAGTTTGATCAGCGTGATTAAATTTTAAACACTAAGCAGTAGCATCGAAGATGATGAGCAAATAACACTTGTGTATTTGTGGATTTCTGCCACGTATGTACTCAATATGGCCTTAGACCTTCGTGGCCAATTCTTACGCATCAAAACTCCAAACCGGTGCTAAATAGCCGATAAACACCGTTCAGAAATATTATGCTGATAAAGACACGAATAAATTATGAATATACATATACTTACTATTTACAACACGAATGACTCTCCATGGGAGCAGAATTGCAAGAATAAACACAAAGTCTTTAGTGTCTATATCATGTAGGAAGACGACAAAAGAAAAATCCATGAGAAATGACACCACGACAACAAATGCATCGAAAACCTGAAACGATGTTAAAGCAAGCATGAAGAAACAAAAATATTTATTTCTATTCAATTCAGTTCAGTTCAAGGAAGTATCGACATATGTCGGTTTATTGCTTGTCGGCTTCCTTGTTGATTTGTGTTCTCTTATGTTATTGTACATTTATAATGACCACCGGCATGAGAAAAAAAACAACCCATAACGTCATTTAATATTTTTATAAATTGACATATTTGATTCTTAAAAATATTAATTTCTATTGCTCTTGAAATAGATAAAATCTTCTGACATTTCATTATTGTTACTTTTTCATATTTATCTTTAACATTTCAAACGTAATTCATTTTTGTATTTTTAAAGTCAAACATTAAGTTTTTTGACATCATTTGATACGCCGGAGATACAATGTTTTTGATGTTTACACTAACATTGTCTTTCTCATGTAGCTTTATCGAAACATATTTTTGATGTATACTCTAACATTGTCTTTGCCATGTAAGCTTTATCGTAAAATGTTTTTGATGTATACGCTAACACTGTCTCTTTCATGTAGCTTTATCGTAAAATGTTTTTGATGTATACGCTAACACTGTCTCTGTCATGTAGCTTTATCGTAAAATGTTTTTGATGTATTCGCTAACACTGTCTCTGTCATGTAGCTTTATCGTAAAATGTTTTTGATGTATACGCTAACACTGTCTCTGTCATGTAGCTTTATCGTAAAATGTTTTTGATGTATACGCTAACACTGTCTCTGTCATGTAGCTTTATCGTAAAATGTTTTTGATGTATACACTGTCTTTGTCATGAAGCTTTATCCCCTGGTGACCATTCGGACATATGGCTACCTATGTAGAACCACCTATCTCCATACTAATTTAGCTGGAAAGCTCGTCCTTTTATGAAAGAAATCCAATGCCATCAATTGGATTCGATTTTTTTAGTTGCAAGAGGCAAGATATTAAGATTGAGCTGATCTAAATCACTCAGAGGCCCTTAATTCGTCATATAAACATTTGCATTACAGAACTGATTTATTCATTTCTATGCAAGTTGTTTATCAGGTCGGCAAAGTTTTGTTATTATTATTCTAATATAAATATTCTAAACATATAAGATGCATCACGAATAAGAGATCAGGATGTCATGTAAACAATACGCTGTTATTGTATTCTCTTGCCGCGTGTTGAACTTGGATAAGAAAAAGATGCACTTCAATGTAAATATACACATTCTGCTATCTTGTGTTGCAGCAGCTAATATATGTTTTCATAATCTGTATCTATTCTAGAGAAACAGCATAGCAATAGAATACTTGAGTCGAATGAACATTGTCCTTGGATAAATTGTTTATAGCATACGGAGTTAGCAGAAATTATTTTCTAAGAAATCAAACTTGACACATAACTGTCGACGCTGAGTTATTGGGTATCTATAGGGGTTACGCCATTGGTTTGATTTATAGGCCCCTTAATCAGATAAGTGTTACTTTAGATATACATGTACTTGTAACAGAACTAACGACTTCCTATCGATCAAGTTCATGAAAATCAAAGCGCTGAAGGCACTGGTGATTCTCGATAATACAAAAAGGTCAGTCCTAAAATCTGAAAAGCTCATAGGTGTTAGATGATAAATGGTTTTGCATAAAGTTTTATTTTTTAACAGACATATCATAATTGTGTTGTTATAAATCTTTTTATTCTTGACAATTGTACAGAGAAATGATAACATAATAAGAAATAACTCCTGTATTTAGAATTAATCTGTTTACTTTTAATTACTTAACAAAGGTCAAATATTAGATGCATATTGTTGTGAACTAAATTCTGTTAACATGGTTTACTATTTAACTATTTAAAGCACAGACACGACAAAATATCTGCACAACTCAAGTATTCAATATGTTTTGTCGTGGGCATAGTTATTTTTGATGCTTAGAATTATTTGACTATAATGTTCATCATCATTAATTTTCATTTTGAATTTACATAGTGAATTATTTGTTTTCTCAATGAAATTCTAAGTTACACAACTACTTTTCAGTCGGAATGATACATATTAAGTTGTATGTATGTTGTTTGACTGGTTTGCTCGGAAATCGATCTATAATTTAAAAATGTCCAAGTGCTTTTCGCATAAAACAACAAGCACATTTAAATGTTAAGAAGAGGAGTATATATTTGATAATTTATGAAACTGACTAATTCGCAGATATTCCTTAAAATTCTGTCTAAAACTCAATTAGATTCACTAAATAACAAAATGTTCATAAAAATGTAAATGCTAAAGATTTCAATTGTATATAACTTCAATGCCTTAAATGTTCTCTGAATAGTGAAAGCTTCAGGCATATGTCCTATATGTTCCTCGAATAATGAATGCTACATGTAAAGAAGAATAAGCAATTATAGCCTACTTCTGTTGAGTAGTATATCATTGCTATAGAAATTAAGAGTCTGGCATTTGAATTGATAGAGATAAAGTTGTCCCTTATTATATCAAAACCAACGACTGAATTCAATTCCAATTTGACATCAAGTCATCTAAAACACTTGACTATTTCATTCTTGTCTGGTGAAAGTAAGGTAAATGTTACGAATTTCAATAGTTATGTGTCTAACAAATGATAGTTTTAAATTTATATAATCAATGTAATTTTCGAAACTTCTTGTATTTGTATTTTGCAAAGAATTTTGTAAGTGGAATACTCTGACGATATCAAAATACCCAAAGCACGGTATGATGACAGTCAACAAAAGTTATCGATATTGAAAATGAATAAAAAAATCTTCTTTTTTTGAATTCAATTTATACTTCCAATCACAATAAAAGTCTTAAAATCAAGTCGTTTTTGAAAATAAATTGCACATTTTATAATGATTATATTTTTTATATTTTCTGTCCAGTTTGTATCAAAGTTTAAAATCTTATTTAATACAGGGTCAGTATTTGGCAGGCAAGACCAATACAGGAAAAACAGGGTCGCTAATCAAATAATTTTACAAGATAAAATATCAAATACTATAAAAACAATCGGGTTGTTAGACAATCGGAATTATAAATTATGATTGGTATAGAAACAGTGCCGATATTGTATGTTCTATTTTTAGAATCTTACACGCCTTATTCCGGTCAAACAACAATGTCATTAATCAAGTACAAAAAAACAACAACTTTAAAATATTTAAAATAAATTTTCATTTTTATCTGATTTCGTTATCCTAAAATAAAGAGGTAAAGGGTAAAAAGCTATTTCTAATGAAATATTTCCAAAACATTTAAAAAAAAAATTATGTTGTTTTCACAATTTTATGGTTAATTCTCGAAAGAGCTGTAACATAAAATGCCTCTGTTTTATTCAACACACATAAAATATGTGTGAACAAAATAAAAAGTTCCGTTACAAAATATTATGCTGTTACTTTAAAAAGATTTTTTCAATTTAACAATGATTTCGTGCATGCACCTTTCGCTCAAAATGAAGAATACCATCATAAATCTTTCATCCTGGCATTTTGAATTTATTCTGTTTCAAAATTCAAACAATCATCTTGAAAACTTCTCACAGCAGAGATATAGCTTTTTTATAATTTAAGAAATTTATACTAATAGGACACAAGTAATGATAACTATAATGAAAAGGTTAATACGCTTAAAGCTTACCTCGATTTTTCTATGGAAAAAAGACCTTCCGGCACATATTGCTTTTAGAAATGTCTGAAATGGAATGAAATTATATATAATATGAATTACAAGACTCCAGAAAGTACTCTAAAAACATTTATTGATAAAATCATTATTCTTAAATGAAGGTCATATTAAAAAAAACTTTGCTTTTACTTTTTGATTATCCAATTTGTTTAAACATTGTTTATTTAAGCTGTATAGTAAAAAAATCCTTAAATCCTTGAACATATTTGGACCACTCTTTTGTTCGCTTTTCAGCTCAATGGCGAGGGAATCGGATAAGTTATCCAGGGGCGCTGGTTCGCTCCTCGGGCGAGGTAATCTTTCACCATGACAATTAATCTCAGACTTTGTGTTTATCATTCGTATCTAAACGCTTAATAAGAATTCATGTTGGAATAGTAGTTAATCAATTTAGAAAAAAATTTGTAATAACAGTCAAGTGTTCCAGGAAAATCGGTTGGGCATATATGACAAAAATGTATATCTAATTTGATTAAAAGAAAGAAAGAAACAAAAGTCCTCTTCCTGTTACTAAGTTCTCGTGTGATATAAGTAAACATATTCGTGGCACCCAGTAGGGCAAACATGATCTCTGGCGGACAAACTAACTACTAAGCCACTGCGTCCCTTTCACAAGGTAACGTACTTGTACTAGCGTTCTTTAATTCAACTAACGTAATGTTCTATTCAACTTACTTCTAACATGATCACAGCTAAAATTGCGATACTGCAATAATGGAATACATGAGCAATGTCTCCTATAATTTCAACGTCATATTCTGAATAAGTCGTTGTATCACCAACTATCAGTTGTGACGTATTTCTTACGTCATTTCGAACTGATATCACGTGTGACGTCACATTTTCCGACGGACAAAGAACATACTGTTGCATGGAACTATTAACACTTGAAGAATGATATGACATGTTCCATAAAATTTTGGAATCTAGAAGCATTGCGAATATGTCATATGGACTTTTGTCATTTATAATCGGATATAAAGATGTTAGCTCCGTCATAAAATCTTCTGTAGCTGACGTTAGAGCTTCCGAGCCTTCAAGTGTAGCTAGAAAATATTTAAAATATCAATTAAATCATATTGATAATTGTTGTCTGCAAGTAATTAATAAATTGAAAAATATGCCTAATGAGGCTTAATGAAAATAAGTTTGAAACGAAATAATATATATAGATATATACCTGTGGTAAATTTCTTTATTTTTTTATAATTATATCAGATAAAATTCTTGCTTTATAAGATCCTACAGCACACAATTAAAGACGAATTAATATAGGAGGCAGTTGAAATGTTAAGTAAAGGTCAATTGTCCTGAAAATATGTTTAAAGTATTTTGAACACCTCGTCGTCTATCTATAATCACCTCGGAAAAAATACGTATGGGAATTGTTCTTAACCGTGACTTAAAATAGATGCAAACAAACGCAGAGTGTACAACCTTTACATAGAAAGTAAAGAATGAAACTATAAAACATCAATTGAAAACATAGTGTATATTGATAATATAACGTCGTATGACAAATACATAGTTTATAAATGGTAGCAACTACTTATAAACATGTATACCGGCTCCGTTCCATGTATTCATACTATTGTTTTCGAGGTGCTTAACCCAAACTTTGATGGGAAGGTCCGGGAAGTTGCGTTTGTCAATTTTGACATTCATGAGCAACGGCCGTTGCACAACGTTCAGTTAAAGTAAAATGAAGACGGCGCAATATAATCGTATCTATACACAGGAGATAGAAGAAGTAAAGGTTATGTTTCCTACCTTTGACTTTATAGAGATCAAGTGCTAGTTCACCTAGCACTAAGGCACAGTCAACTATACATAGTATAACCACTGTAAGGAGCATGTGTTTGCTCTTGAATATCTTGTCTCCTGTTCGACGCCATCTACAACAGAAACAAACTCATTAAAACATGACGTTCTGTTGAGAGAGATTTCGTCTCAATTCGTCCCTTATTCAACTCGACCCCTTGTCAACTCTTTACCGTTGTGGTCATTCGTCCAATGTTCATCTCGCTCATCAAATTCGTCTTCGATTTCATTTAATTCAAATACATGTATTGAATTTATATTATTATATTACTAAACATTATATATTAAGCTATGACATTTAGCAGTTGCGCGAACGAAGGGACGAGTTCACTTGACATCAAGAGAGTTGTTATAAGAGATTACAAAAATTGGTATTTGTTTTTGAAATTGTAACTTAAATCTAGTTCATGCTTGCCATGTCTTGCCCACGCTTATCAATGAAGAAACATGTACCATTTGGACAATATTTTTACGAGTATGTCTTACAATTACATGTTAAAATTACCATATTTAAGCATATTATGCATGAATATTTGATAAAACATTTACCACAAAAGGCTATATCTTAGTGCTATAAATAATAATTGTGAAAAACCTCTTTGATATTTAGATTGACAAGTAATTTTAGCGTACCTAAACATGTTGGTTTGGTATACAAATAAATGTTTAAAAATACACGCCTTGCTTATATTGCTTAATTACTTACAGTGTAAATGTTAAACACGAATCTAACTTATTTTGCATAAGTCATTGATACCGTTTTATAAGAGAAACAATGATTTCATTTGAATACAAACACCACTTTCTGCGTCCGTTTACCATGCATCAATGCTAAAAAGCATATTTTTGTACTAATGATGATATGGTGATTTGCACAATAATGTTGCTTTTATAGCGTTTGATATTGTTTATTCACAGCAAATCCTAGTAAAAGTTAAAATATCGTTTTGCGACAAGTTATCAGGCATAAAACCATGTTATATTTTACAAGTCCAGCAAATGATATGATTTCTTGGATCATCCGTCATCTAACTATTATTCGAAGCAATTATTTATGAGAAGAAGAAAAATACAAGAGCAAATGAGGTATGGATTTAATCTATCTGAAGCCACTGACGTTACAGAACAAAAAGGTTTACAACCAAGTCAGAAATGCTAATGAATTTGATAAAATGTGGCTGAATAAATCTTGAACCTATGGTAATGGCATTGTCAAATAGCAATAAAGTTGGTAATAAAATTGCACACTTTATTTTATTTCATCTTGTATATTGTGCATAAAACAAAGACCAAATGCTCCGTATGACTTGTCCTGACAACATTCAACCGAATTTCAAACCTATTTCATTTTAAAAATTTATTTTAATTTGCATACAGGAAATTTAACGTGACAAACCCAAGACATTCGTTATTTTATATGTGCACAAAGGTTGTATTCATCAAAATGCAAGTTTTATTCTGAAAAGATAACTTTGAGAACCTGTGACTTCCTTTCAGACGTATTCTGCATTAAAATACTTCATTCTCAGTTTGATATGTGGTTTACATGTTTGAATGGTAAAACAATTTGTCGATACGAATGGCGTGAAGAGTATAAAAAACCGAACTAAAATTCGATTATGATAAATATGTTACAAACTGAACTTGCCATAACATATCTTGAAAAAAGCAACCACCTGTGAAATTCCTTCAGAAAAACCTAATTCTCTGTAGCTTTCATTAAAATTCTAAAGGAAAATGTAAATCTGGAGAAGCAATTGTGTTTAATTAAACTCCGGGTTATTATAACAGTTTTTGTTATGATAGAACTGTAAGAATGTTTCTCGAATTCCCATAACATTACTGATAACCGCTGTGCTAATGACAAATAGGGCTGAAAAAAATCCAAAGAGACATGAAAAAAAGAGGAATACGAATGCATCTTATAATCATATTTCAAAAATGATTTGATCGATGGTTCTGCGTTTGAAGCGGTTATTGATAACACAGCCAGACAGTCTGACATAGAAGAAGATAAGGCAAAAACACCATATCAAAATTATCTTAAGGTTACTGCGATCGAAACCTACCGTAAATCGAATAAGTTATTTTTCACATTGATCAGATAAGCTTTTCCCCCAAAACTCTTAAGTGTTTTTCCGTATTTGAAAACGCAAGCCAGACAAAATATGACCTTTTCTTGATGCTTATAAATCTTGACGGCTTTGCAGCCTGTCTTCATCAATAAATAATTGTACTTTTGTTCGTATTTCAAGGTATAAATATACCAATTCGAATTAGGGTTTTTGTACTTCCATTTTATGTCTTGCATAGATGAGCCTTAAACATGATTACTTGTAAGACAGTAGTTATACTAAACTTGGTTAATATTTTGCTGCTGATTATAAATTCGAACGAATATATGACAATAACGTGGTTTATAATAATTAACTAACTTTTTGGCAAAAGATAACTTTTATAACAAAATTCCAACAAGCGGTAAATGGATGTGCTTTAGGGAAAGATAATGAACAAATATGCTTGAATAAAAAACAAGATCCGACTATTGTCGGCCATTCAAAATTTTAATCAAAATGAGTTTGAAAAGAAAAAGACGTAATCGAAAATTTTGTTTAACCTCACAATTATCAAACATGCTATTATAAAAACAAGACTGACTTTTACGTCAACGGCCTTAACAAAATACGAAATGGCCATATTACAATGAAAACTAGTGATGTCATATGAGAAAATTATGTAGCAACACAACATTGTGAATGACTGATTAAATCAGGGTAGAGTTTTTTCTAATAAAATAATACTTGTTCCATAATGAAATTCTGACCCGCCGAAAGGAAAATGGTAATTAGATCATAGCATTCACACACATATACATATACGTGTGTTACAGAATTTGTTTTATTTATGGTCTAATTTTAAACAATTTTTCCAACCATTTTTTTATAGATTTCCAGCCTGATTCTTAAATTGTGTCTTGCCCGAGGATCAAACTAGAGTCCTCTCGGATTTGTATACGAGGGGTCGCTGGTTTGATCCTCGAGCGAGGCGATATAACTCCGTGATAATCGATTCCAATGGCTTATTTAGAAACCATGTGGAAACTAGAAGTCGTTCACTTTCAGACAAATTGGTAATAACTGGATAGTTATCCAGGAAAACCATTGTGGTGGACAGACCGCCAAGAAATTTTTTTTTAAGTATCAAAAATCTGAACTGTTGAACCTTTTTATTTGCTTACACAAGATAACAATAATGATAAAAAGTTTCTGCATGTTCAAAAGGGATTTTTATATTCATGTTGTCTCATTTAAAAGTATATAATCCTAACACAAGTTCACAAAAATATCAAACCTGATGTACGGTAAGCTTTTGTTTACGTGATCTACATGCACATTTGTTTCCAAATGTTCTTTTATTCGAAATATTTGCTTTCGTTAACATTTTCATACATCCTTACTAAAATGTGCCAAATGAAAATTATTGATCCGACTTTAAAAATTATACCTATGCTTACCAACCGTTCAAAAATTGATCAAAACCTCTTATATCATATTTGTACTATAATTAAGTGATAAAGTTATATATACCTGAGCAATTTTTCCTCCGGAGGATCACTAAAGTCTCTTTGAAGTTCCCTCTCCAATTCATCTTCGATCTTTTCAACATAGCCATGCGTCTTAGCAAGTACAAGTGTTTCCGCTACTAATGTCTGTAGAAGAAAACAGTTATCTCCCTTTATAAAATTAGGCAAGCATTTTTCGGATTCTAAACTTTCACACAAGTAACTGTTATTTTTACACGTGTTGAATTCATTTACTAGCATAATTTCTCTGTGAAAATGTATGTATCTTTTGATCAAGTTATTGTGTGTAAATCTGTTCGAAATTACACATGTACATATTTTGGTGTATAAAACAGTAATAGACGATTTAGTTTATTATGATTATAACGTTCCTTTAACGCGCCGAATGTGGCGTCTATTAACGTAAACGACTGTTTGGAACGTTTGCGTCCTTTCCTTTGTTATTTATCATATGAACTGATGAAGCTTAAGAAAGCAAAATATGTTTTGATAAATTGTGTTGGTTTTTGATCTGTTTTCCCGATATAATTATTACGAACTCGCCCCTTTTTGTTTTCTAGCGTTTACACTGTTAAGTGTTTTAAAATATATTTCTTTTTGTTGAGACTTTATATTTACATGTATATATACATGTATAAGTAAAGGTGTATATTCATATATAACATAACGGTTAATATCTTTTAAATTAGCTGAATCAAGCATGTCAGAATTAAGCAACGTTTGAGTTTTCTTTAAATAGACTCAATTCATCTTGATATTTAGAAAAAAGAAAAGAAAAAAGAAAAGAAAAAAAAAGTTAAAATGTTTTTTGGCCATGTGTGCAATTGTAAGACATGTCAATCTGTTATTACCCGAGTTTCTTTATCATAAAAAAACGGTAGTTTTGGTTAGCATTTGAGAATTTCGTATTTAAAGAAATGAATATGAAATATTGAAAACATAAAAATTCTTGTTAAATAAAATCAAATTGGTAGCATCAAACACTTTCGAAAGCACAAACAACATTTATAATGGTGCTATGAATCTATAGTTACTTTTTATTTTTAAATCTTAATTTTCAAGCAAAAGAGAAAACAGATCGCTGGAAATAAGACCATTAAACTTATTTTTAAACAGCTGTTTTAAACATGAAAAAGATGGAAGAAATATAGGGATTTTAAAAAGTAATTTGGAACAAACACTCAAATGTCTCTTATTTTGAACATCTATTTTTTTATTAAATTTTCAGAATAAATTTTCTCGATTGAAAAGCAACGTTTAAGCCAAAATCGGTCCAATTTACATGCAACATCAAGCAAAGACGAAATAAAAAAACTTGAGAAAGACAGAGAGAAAGAAAATCGTTTTACTATCAGAAAGATATTGATGTAATTCTGAGAAGTAGGATTTATGACGTTTTGTTTGTTTCAAGCATGTAACAAATTGCATCTTAAGGCAGCCAATTAGCAATCGAAGTGCGTAGGATGATTACATTAACCTCTGGGTGCGATACGGAATGCCTCAATTGACACATGTGCAAATGACAGCTTTGCTGTAAAGCATGAAATCTTCGAGCGGTTAATTTTCGTGAATATTTAGATATACCCAGTGTGGCTGAGGACTTTACTTAAAGGGTTGAGGCATCATAATAGCAGCCACAGTTTATACCTGCGTGATCATTAGAGACGAATAAATGGGATTGAATTACAGGCGTCTATGTATTTCTTAAGTAGGGGCGGTGGTTTGGCCCCTGGTGTGACTATAAGTTTGTAACACCCAAGGATAGCCAAAATCATTTTTCCTGTTTCGGCGTCCTTTGTCCTAAATTGTGATGGTGCACCATATAACCAACCGAACAAACATATTTAGATATAGAAAATGTTAATTAAATAGGTTGGTTTTCGGATGCACAATTATACATAAATGTGTATTTAAAAGATGGTTTGAAGTTTACGAACCTTAATATCAGAAGTTTATAACATGCATTTATTCCAAAGCAACAATTATATTTCCGAATTCTTACACATAAATCATATCAATATTCTTATAGCTGAACTATATTCAAATGTGGATAAATGCGACCTATGAATTGTTAGTTTAACTTATCTTAAGACATTAAGAATAATAAAAACCATAAAAAGTGACACATTAAATATTGCACAATTTTTAGCAGAGTATTTATTACATACCCACAATAAATCAAAATGTCTTATAAAATAAAATAGAAGAAACGGAATCCCTGAAAAAAGGTCTAAAACGGCAAAATTGAAAATGTTGCAGACTCGGTTTCATTGAGCCTGTTCATTGACGGAAGTGGATAGTGCAAGTTACCGTCCACGCCCCCTAGCACCAGCTTAAGCAAAATCCAACATTTAATCATGGTAATTGTGAAATTCTGAATTTGTAAACATCCGAATCATTTGAAATCCCTTAAGTTATTATTTTATCATTTTGCGTTTTTGAAATGTGATAAAATTCATGCAAAAGATATTGTCGGTTCGCGAAAAGACAAGAAGAAAAAAATCGCCAAGTAATCAAATTAAGCCAATATAACGTTTTACACAGACTTCTCCCCGAGATTTCCTTGAATGAAGTAATTATGACATTCCCTCGTTAATACGTCAATTATGACATGAAGCCAGCGGCCATACAGGAGTTTTACATCATACAATTACAAGAATTGACTACCAATCGATCAAAGTCAGTATGGAAAAGCATATCTTTGCGCTTCAAGTAACACTAACAATATGCGCTTGCAAATTCCAAGTTAGAATTAAAAATTGCAATTGAAGTCTTGTTTTATGATAAATATTGAGAATTGACAAGAATTGTTATACGTATTTAAAACCGTAACTGATTAGTACTGAACATTTGTTTACGTAGAATGTAAATTATAACCAATTATACGTTAGGGAATGGTTGCCTCAGTGCAAAATAATTAAAGTATTTAGAAAAGAATCAGTACGGGTCGACATCAAGCAGTCCCCAAATCCACTGACGAAGAAACTTAAATGATTAATGAGACAGGTCTATCAATGCCGATAATCAAATCAAGCTGTCCTGCATATTATTATTTTTTTTGCGTAATTATTTCATAAATTGTTATAATGATATGTTTCATTCGATTTTAATGTAGTATCAGCTAGAAGAACGAGAAGTAGTTACGATTAAAGTAACAGCAAAAATGTACGTTTTGTTAGAACTTTGCAAAGAGAAGTAGAAGACCATTCTTCCTTATCCGTTAACATTCTTTAAATTCACTTTATACATTTGCTTCTTTGCTTTTTACCAAACGTACAGTTGTTATAATAGTTTAACTTTATCCCTTCCGTCCATTGTTTCTGTTATTATTTAACCAGTTTTAGGGTTATGGTATATGAGGCATGGATTAATTTTTGTCATGGACATTACACTAATGTAATTTGTGTAATGTGTAAACTCAATTGATGACAGAACTGGAAATAATGTTTTAGATTTTTGTTTTATTTTGATGTAGGTTTTGACAAATAACTTGTGTGCAAACTTTCAGATCATTCGCTCATTCGGTTTCTTATCAGAATTGTTACTCAAATTGTGGAAAATGATCCAAAATTAAAAAGTGCTGCAGCATTTTTCATAAAAATGGACTAAGAACAGCACAAAAATACGGTTTTCAATTAACTTCCGAGTACAGTGCTTGATAATCTTTTGCATATCTTTCTGCTTTTAGTGCCCCAACTTATGTATGCAACAATTTAAATTTTATGTATTAGGCTTTTGAACCTCAGTGGAGTTTCTTAAATAACTGATGTACAGAATTCAGATTTATCTAAAGGCTAGTAAAAAATTTATGTTAAGCGATTTTCACTTGAAAGCTTTCAAGAAATGCATACATTTACTGCATTTTAAAAGTACCAATAACATTGCATTATTATCACATGTCAGTGGCCATACTCGTAGATTTTAAAAACTGTTATAAAAATAATTCAGATTGTATTCATTATTACTGTATGTGTATATCTGCTGGGGAAAAAATACTGCTTGAATTTTTGAGAGAAAATAAATAATTATGAAAAAGAATAATGTTTGTACTTTAAATGGCGCTTGTACGGAAGGATTGCCTTACTTAAATAGCAGGATAATAGTTTGTTTCAGGAACATTTTATTCCGTTAAATTAAATGTACAACATTTATGCCTGTTAAATAACGAAACGAAAAGCTTCCATGAAAATACGGAAGTAAATTTCTTTTATTCTTTATACATTTTTTAAATATATTTCATCAGAAATAGCCTTTGCCCAATAATAAAAGATTAAAAAAACAACAACAAAAAAAATCAACAACAAAAAATACAAAAACTAAACAAAACAAAACCCAGAAAATATAGAAAAGTTCAGTTCAATAAAAAAAACCACACAAATTAGAAAGATCGATTGACTATTTTGAAAAGTGGATTAACTTAAGTATCGCCCTGGACCGTTCGCACATGTAACTTTTAATGAAGCATTAATTTTACTAAGTTTGTTTACTGTCTTCCGTTGACATTAGTTTCGTATACTTCTAAGAAAGATTATAATATTACAGGTGTTTTGCACCGACCGATATAACTTTTTATACTTCTTTTCAGAATTTGGTTTCTTGCCATCTATTGCTCATAAATATATAACAAAATGTTTGCACACACTCATACAAAATGAATATAGACGATGATATTATACTACAAAATGACGCGGTGTGAAACTGGGGCTTTTGACAAACTGTTGATCATGTAACGAAGTTTATACTACTATTAAGTGTTGAGAATTGAGTACCGCTCAGACCGATGCTAGGTGGCGTGAGGGATGTTTCACTTATTCATTATCCCCCATGTACAGACTCAATCAAACCGAGTCTGCAATTCCCATGTAATTTTGTTGTGATAAATGCTTCCGAGGGATCATTTTGTTTCTAGATTTTTGTAGCTTTAAATTGTTTTGTAACGTAAAAGACAGTTTATAAAACATAATTACTGATAAATATGACAGACTGTTAATATGATTAAAGATTTACTATGCTCATTTTTCAGTAAAATATTTTTATCACAGAAATGTTATGAAATCTATGAAATTCTTACTGAATATGTCTTATTTGAATAAAAGAATAAACTATGAATGAGGAGCAATGTTTCCTATCACAGGTCAAGTAAATTTGGTATTTTAAAAAACGATGATATTATACTACAAAATGACGCGCCCGTTTCTTACACGATTTCATAAAGGTAGTGTGAAATTGGGGCTTTAGACGAAGTAACAAACTGTTTATCATGGTACGAAAGTTCTAGCTATAAATTGTTTTGTGGTTAAAAAGACAGTTTATAAAACATAATAACTGATAAATATGACAGACTGTTAATATGATTAAAGATTTACTATGCTCATTTTTCAGTAAAATATTTTCATCACAGAAACGTTATGAAATCTATGAAATTCTTACTGAATATGTCTATTTTGAATAAAAGAATAATCCATGTATGGAGAGCGATGTTTTCTATTACAGGTCAAGTAAAGTTGGTATTTTTTAAAAAAAGAAATGCATGTTTTTTACACTATAAATTCATATTATTACCACCTATAGTATGTAGAATTTTATAAATAGCATAACTACTATACATGCTTTTTTTATTTACAAAGAGACTATGTAGCAATTTTTTTTCTATTTCATATTTGAGCATGATATATTTTTAAGAGGTACAAATTTAATTTAAGGCGAAATTAGTTTTTCTACAAGAAATAATTAAATAATCTTCTACAATAGTCAAGTGTTTTTTCTATACTTTCAAAAGATATAACGTAATGCGGACACATAAGTGCGTCTCTTCTCTCTTGAAAAAAAAACATTTCAAGATCCTGTATGTTGTAATTAAGGATGTTACAACACTTTTATGTATGCATATGATTATTCTTCTAAAACAATTGCCAAACATCGAAGAATAAGCTAAGTATGTACTGCACATGTTTATGCGCATTATAAGTAATCATTTAAATATATGCATTCATTTCTTATTGAAAAAATTTGTCTTCTGATTACCTCATTTTATTTATATGAAATGTAAATTCGGTAATATCTTTACAAATAATGTGGTTTGGAAGTTACAATATTGATAAATCTTCATCTGAGCATCATATTTATGATATAAAACCATAAAAAATTGGATACAGGGTCTTTAAAAGATGATGAAAAATTTTGTAATTCAGAGATAGTTCGTCTAAAATATTTTCTAATGTTAAAAAATTTGTACAATAAAATTACTTTCAAACATCATGAGCAAAGATAGGCCCGAAAGCAAAAAAATAGACATGAAAGCAAAAAATAGCTCCGACATCTTTATCAAAATGTTATTACGCCTACAAGTACACTACCTGTGTGATGTAAACATAAAATATAATTCTGTAACAATATGTATGATAATAGCTTCACAATTCAGCTATAAATAAGTGTAAATGCAGGTTCTCAAATGAAGTATTAGTCGTAGACAAGAAAATTAATTTCACGTCAAGGACACGTCAAGTAGGCAATAGAATAGTCAAAAATAGAAACATTGAAGCTAACCTGAAATGGAAATATTGAAAAATGTTGCAGGCTAGGTTTGATTTAGCATACTCATAGTAAGCAGTGGTAAATACGAGCTAACATGCATATTCCTAGCATTAACTTAATCAAACATATCAATGGTTTTAACTAAGAATTGTTCCACATTCGCAAAAGTGTTTATACAGCGGTGATCGTTGAACTTTCAATGCAACAAATAATTTGTCATTTAATAAAAAAAGCATAGAGACGACATTTGGTGATTGGTAAATTATTTGAATGAATCGAAGTAAGTTTTATCTTTTTATTACGTTTCAAATTTAAGTTATTTATCAATTTCAGCTTAACTTTTCTCTAAACAGCCCTGACAACGTCGGAAATGTAAACAAAAATAAAATTGAGGTACCACATGGGAATAATCTTTAAAGTTATCATTGAAAAATGTGAAGTTGTATTTTGATAAGTTTCACTGTGAAATGATCAAATATAATTTTCACGAATAAATCAATAATCCCTTAAATAATTATAAAATAAAAAATGTTTTTGGTTATTGCAAATTATGAGAATGAAATAACTCATGTCTAGATATTTGTCTAAAAAATAACACATTCCTGTATAACGTTTAAATATTGTTTAGCCTTTCTGTCAAAAGAACCGAACTTTTTAAAAAAAGTTTTTCAATTATGAGACTATTTCTGATAGACAGATAGGCTTATTCACTTTTATTAGACACTAAAAGATGTACGTGAAATGGTTTTTAACATTAAAGCATCAAATAATTGTTTTAAGTATTTTGCGAGAAATTTTATGTCAAGTACATTTATATGTACTTTATACATGCAAATATCTTAACTGATATTGTAAATTATAATTCAAATTCAGAAACATGTTTATATTTTTTTTAATTATTTTTATCATTAATTTTACAATGCGGTCAACAAAATATCATAAACTTATCTATGTTCAACGCAAGCACTTGTTGGTCTTGACTTAACACTAATGAGTCCAATATGTTTACAAAAATCTGACTCACACGAGATTTTCATGAGAATAATGAAACGAGCCCATGCTGCTTTCAATTTGTATGAATTAACTACGAAAGGCTTGACTTATCAAATTATCAGCTCTAAAGGTGTAACATGCCAATAATAACTACAGTTTCTTCACCTGGCTTCATAGTCTTAGCCATCGTGTCTTTTTAATTATTTCATACGTCAATTAAAAATATTATGAATTTTTTATTAGAATAATGTATCAGAAACTCCTATAATCTTGCAAATTGTAACGGACGCTGAGATAAAATGATATACATGTAGTTCTTTTGTCTTAAGCAAAGTGTTATCTATAAAGGATATTGACATCATGTGTAACAAGAAACCAAAATAAATAATCATTGAAAACGTTACAAATGTAAAGGTTGTATTGGTTTTGAGTGTTATCAAATAAGTAACAACAACTTTGAGTGGTTGAAATTATTGTAACAGACATGTTAATTCAATTAAAAGTCATACAAGCATTATGACTTGACTCTCTACTGTTAGCTGCTTAAGTCTGTTGAAACATTTAATATTTGAAACCTCAGATTAAATCCCAAGAACGAAAGTAATACATAAAACTGCTTAGTAACGATCTATGTCATATATAATGATATTATGATATAAAGCGGAAACGGTTGTTAAATTTTATAATATCTTATTGAACTTGAAGTTATTTTTTTTTCATTACCTACTCATTAATTATTTAAAGTTCACATTATTGTTTTTTATATTGCCCTTAAAATACAAAATTCCGTGTTTCGTTTTCAATAAAACAATATTGCCGTTAAATATCCAACACAACTTATACTTCGTTAAAACCATAACACATATTTGCTTTAAGTAATTTACTTTCAGCAATACATTTCAATAACAGAAACAGAACTTTTTTAAATTTCGGAATAAGCAATTTGAAATATCCTAAAATGAAAACATAATTATTGTAGAAATATCACAGATAATATATCACTGTACATATATTTAGATTCATTTATCATTTTTAACAAGTCAGTTAATTCTTTTTACTGTATAAATATATAATCATGCTTAATTTTAGAATTATCTTTACAGAGTCATATTAGAAACACCAATGATATAAGTATATGATGAAAAATACTTACTCTTACAGCACTAGATCTTCTCTTTCGCCATCTCCCATTACAGGCTGAGGTTATAATTGGTCGCTTGATCATTAGTTTTCCGAAAAAATCCACTAGTAACATAGAGGCCACTGACAGCGTTCAAATTATAATTAATCATTTGCTTTATATTCTTTTCCCATGAACATAACAATTCCGAAAAGATATAGCCGTGACATGTACACTGAGCAATCTTGCTGAATTGATGTCACTTTGATTCCTTTGATTGTTAAATATGTCGTGCTTACATCACATTCGAAAGAATACGTATGATCCAACTCCAGAACAAGATGGATAGACTGAGCGCTTTAATAAATCAATTGCCTGTTTAACCTATCTGAGACACAGCTACAATTCCGAGTGATGAATTTCCAGGTGTAACACGCTTATTGCTAACATTGCATCCACAACTGTTACATATAAATATGTGAAAAATTAAGAGTTTACTAGATTTCTTTCAGAATACCACTACAAAGCTTTAAAATTTAATCCTTTTTATTTCAATACTTTTTGAATATTTAGAATAACAAACATCTTAAAAATTCGAACATATATAGTATTTCCTAGTAGACCTTAGCATGCGAACGAACACAAGCGATTTAATGATAACTTTTTACCTATAGATACAAAATATTTCAATTTGAGCATAAACGGTCTGAAGACATCAGTATTTTCTCTTATTTTATATAAATATTTTATATTTATTTCCAATTCTACGTTATCATCAGTTTATCGTTCCAAACCCTTTCAGTCTGAATATCCCTGAAAAAGAAAGAAAAACAAATTTAAACATTATTCTTAATTAGACTAACGTTTTGTTCTCAGGTTTTAAATCATTCTGTCGTTACTTAATTATTAATTAATTGGATAACCTAATTATTTTCCAAAACAGCCTGTATAATAATCGCCGATGTAGTGAAGTCTTATATCTTATTTACAGGGGTTGACAAAAGAATAGAATACAGCAAAATGTATTAATCACAATCAACTTGTTTCCGCTTTATATATTATTTTCCTCAATGCATGTACATATTACGGAACAGTGCAAGTAGTAACAATCAAATAAGTTATTTCCCAATCTGCAAAAACGATAAAATCATTTCACCTTCCTAATAACAGGTTTTGTCTACTAGATATTTATGCGATTAGTAGGATACTCGGTGTTTACGACTTTTTCAACTGTACCGTACAACAAACAAATTTCCAAGATTAATACATCTTGCACCAGAGTGCATACTTTCAATTTCGACTCCAAAGGCAAATCTATTTTAATAATCAAATAAATTTTTACAATACTTGATATAACATTTTTTATTATATGTTTTGTGCTGAAGAAATAAACAACTTATCTAACAAAGTTTCGTGTGTTTACAATACACAGAAGGTAACAGCTTTGTTATTGGTTATCTTTTCTGACGTGAATTATTTGTATCGTATTATGTATTTGCTTGTTAATTGTAAAGCTATGTGGTTATAGATATTGCATTAATTCCACCAGTCTCCCATCCTATATTGATGGCATTTTCTGTATTTGCTGTCATATCAGGCGTACCATCAAATAGTTTGGAGCCTCGAGCGTTCAATTATCGCCTAGAAAGTACAGACATTGTCTCATGTAAGGAAAACAATCAAGCCCAATGCTTCATTTTATGAAGCAATAAAAATTCTTACGAGTACTTTCCTTCCTTTGAAGATTATTTGCAGACTTATTGTATTAATTTTGTGATATGTATTATACTTCGACAATCCAGTTTTTTTCCCTTTCCATTATTCATAAAATAACGGAAAGTGTGATATATTGTCTATCAAGATATTTAAAGATTGTTTGCGAAGCAAATAATGTAAGTGTTTTTTAAGAGAATATTTTTATTACATTGGCTGCAATATTTAGCGCTTTCACAAACTAAAAGAGTCCCGCATAGGTCCAAAATTTGAGAGAAAAAAATCTCACCTATATCAATATACATTTGTATATGTTGTGAGAATCTTAGAAAGTTTTGAGTAAAAATTGTTTAAAATGTATAAGCTTATATATTTCGTGCAAAAATATCGTTTGAATTAAAAAAAGAATACTTTCAAAATGCTTGAAAATAAATATTGTACTAAATTGCCCTAAAGCAAATTGCGCGTGCAAAATTTATTTATAAATGGATAAAATCCTACTTGAAATTTCAGAATAATAGTTTATGCCGGGACATTTATTCAGTTGTCGTTTAATTTTCAATTTAAATAGTAGAGACAATCTTGCAAGAGCCTACAATAAGATTATGATACCATTACAACTTTGCTGTTGATAAATTCTATAAAAAAATATTCATATGATATAGCCTTATACCCTTAAAACGCTGTTCATTTTTAGATAATTTTGCACAATATAAATTGTGTATTTAGAAAAACTAGGAAATCACCAACACCAAAAATTCAAGCCACTTGCTGTTTTTTTCTTAATGTAAGGTGTTACTACTATTCATATCTCAGCGTACATTGACGGAGTTGCCATAAAAACGCCATGTAATGTAGGGAATCGTTAATATTTTGACGCCATTTTTTCCAGATAATTACCAATAAGTAACGGAGATGATACTGTTGTTGATTGACATGTACACACTGTTGTTTTTGTCAGTAAACATGAGATCATGTAACCCTTGGGGTAAATATTATGAAGATAAATGAACGCTATATGGTATAGAATCTATATAAAGTAAAATTAAATGGATTTGAAACAGAATCAAAAAAGAATCTAATAATAATAATAATAATGATGATGATGATGACTTTGTGTTTGTTTACAAGTTAATTTGTTTACCAGTAAAATCTCGGAGATATACCCAACAAAACTTCAGCAGACTCAACAACATGCAATAAATGAATATTTAAACTTTTTTTTACTGGAATAAACAATTATGAATAGTACTGCAACGATAGAGTTTTAAAAATTCCTTTGTGGAAATAAAATCTTTTGATGTAATTTTTTTCTTAATATATAATCATGGAGGGACTGACATCAAAGAAGTTCAATGTCTTAAACTATTAAATTATAGTTGCAAATAAAACATTGAACCACCTTCCATAAGCGTACATATAAACAAGCTGCTCATGAAAGAAAGCAGTACCTTTTCAACCCTCTTTTGTTACCTAAGCTTTTAAGCCACAGTCGAGCTACGTGCGTAATTACCTTTAGCAATTTGTGTATTATAAAGTTATATGTATTAAGAGAATGTCTGTGCGGTACGGTCTTTCATTTCTTAGAAATGCACGAGAATGTGCTGATGTAATTATATGTAACAGACAGAAAAAATGGTGACGTTTTTGTTAATTCAGGCAATGTTGATTTATGTTTGATATGAAGTATTCTGATGAAATCGTTGGCATATTGTTTTTATGTCATTATAGTTTATTAGCATAAGATTTGTCGTTTAAATAATTTAGAATTGATATATGGGAAGTGCGAGGTCGAATATGATATGAAATTTGGAGGGCTTACTATGGTGGCTGATTTGTGATATTTGTGTTTTCGCCCCGCGTCCCCGCCAAGCGAAAAGTGGACAATTAACAAGTTAAAATGGCGGGGGCGCGGAGCAAAAAGTCGCTAATTAGCGGTGGTGCGGGACGAATGGAACAAATCAGCCACCATAGCTTTCACTAATTGTTATAAATTATAGCCTTACTTTTTTTGTAGGTTTACATTTGTTTTTATATTATTAATATAGTTCACAAATTCTGCCAAAGATAAATCACATTTGACCTTTATTTGGAATATAAGATTGTCAGAATCGGAACATAAACTGCTAAATGGTATGATAATTGAGGTGGCATGAATCTTGCTTCATTCCCCTTGCGTAATTAACTGTAAGAACAAGAGGATTATTACAGAAACTCGACATTATGAATGACCATCATCATTAACCTAGTGATTTTCTAAGAAAATTATTCGTGCAAATCTTTCATGTTCCAGCAAATGTTAATTTTGACGACCTCACACTGTGAATAAAACCAATTGTAAATGAAAGCGATATCTACAGAGAACGAAATCACAAAAATACATTTGCTTGATACTGCAAATGAGTTTTTGTTTGTTAATAAGAGTGATAGATAAGACAGTATGCCATGCCTCTATCCGTACCACCGACTCAAGCAAGTTGCATTTTTTCGGACTTAATTTCGAAATACACGTAACAGCAACAAAGTGTCCAAAATTGTAAAGAGAAGCTTATTTAATCATTTGAGAGGTGTTTACATATATCTTGCAACATTTTCATGTGACAATGTCTTTAATTTGATTAATTCAAATTTGATTATGGTAAATTAAAACAAATTGGCAGATGCGTATAAAAAACATTTTTCTTTATCTGAACAAAAATTCTCTTTTTGCACACATTTATAACGGGTTACTCTCATAATATCACTGCAAAAGTAGCAAAAGGGTTGAACCAAGAGTTCTTACAACATCAGCAAAGGGTTCTTCCATGTTATATTAAATAATCTTAATAATGATACTAAAAAGACAATAACAAACCAAAAAAGAATGATATAGTAGAGCAGTTTGGGGAATCTAAATCTCATATGTACAAGCAAGGAAGGGGTACATGAAGAAAACGGGGCGGGGTGGGGGATAAATTAATAGAAATATCAAATGAACATGACAGTTAGTCTTTATATATAGAAAACAATTTGAGATGTTGAGAGAATTATCTTTTTTTTTAATCCATGAAAATTAAAAAAACATTTGTAGCTTGTCAAAAATAAACAAGAGCAGGTTGAACATACAGACAACGTTCAAAGTGTAAAAACAACCAAAATGTTGCGCGCGACACATTGTCTCAATATGGTGATCATTTCTTTGAAATAGTTGTAACATCCGACTTCAAATAACGAAGTTATGGGCCTGACACGATTTTGCTGCAAGGTCATCCTGTGACCTTGACCTTCAAGGTAGTGATCCAAATGTTGCGCGTGACACGTCATCTCAATATGGTAATCATTTCTGTGAAATAGTTGTATCATCCGTCTTCAAAAAACGAAGTTATGAGCCTGACACGATTTTGCTGCAAGGTCATGCCGTAACCTTGACCTTCAAGGTAGCGACCCAAATGTTGCGCGCGACACGTTGTCTCAATATGGTGATCATTTCTAAGAAATAATTTTAAAATCCGACTTCAAATAATGAAGTTTCGGACCTGACACGATTTTGCTGCAAGGTCATGCTGTGACCTTGACATTCAAGGTAGTGACCCAAATGTTGCGCGCGACACGTCGTCTCAATATTGTGATCATTTCTGTGAAATAGATTTAAAATCAAACTTCAAATAATGAAGTGATGGACCGGACACGATTTTGCAGCAAGGTCATGCTGTGACCTTGACCTTCAAGGTAGCGACCCAAATGTTGCGCGCGACACGTCGTCTGAATATGGTGATCATTTTTGTGAAATAATTTTAAAATCCGACTTCAAATAACAAAGTTATGGGCCGGACAGGAATTCGGGACGTCCGTACGGACGGACATTCTTACCAGAGCTACATTATGGGGTTTTCTTTTGTTATTTCTTTTGTTCTTTTTAACCCCACAATGCAGAAAATAACCCCACAAGAGAAACGGAATGAATGACATCAAAGACATCTATTGTTATGAGAACAATAGACCAAACCCCATAATGTAGCTCTGGTTTGTACGGACTGACGGACGGACGGACAACCAGGCGACTATATGCTCCCCCGAATTTTTTCGGGGAGCATAATAGATGAGTTGTCATCATCAAAAAAGGGTTTATTTCTAGATAAAAACAGAATGATGTATTATTTCCCATGCTCTTCGTTATACCGTATTTCTTTGAAAATACCCAATGTGTATAAATATATCAGTAAACATGCTTATTTTTTACATTTATTGTTGATAATATGAAATACAGTTTGGTTTCTATGTAAAATCTATTGATAAGTATGTTTCATTTTATAGTATGCT